GAGGATGAGGAGAAATCATTATTTTAAAAAGATGCCCAGGTGATTCTAATGTGCAGCCCAGGTTGAGAAGCACCGGGTTAAGAGGAAGGAGGAAGACGTGCTCACTCCCGGCGCGGCCACTGCCATGGCTGTCTGTTAGGATCACCTGCTAACCGGCTCGGAGAGTCGCCTAAGGGGCCTCCCAGCGCCTGACGGTGCGGGGAACGGTGCCGGGGCTGCTGGGCGGCTGCAGGGCCACAGGGGCCCTGGGCCCAGGATGGGGAGAGTGAGATGGGCGGGGGTGGCGGGGGAGGTGCAGGTGGACGATCGAGGTCTGCGTCGCGGGAGAGGACTCAGCGGCCCAACAATCCCGAGGTCAATGAGTCAGTTGGTAGCGCAGGGGGCGGGGCAGGCCGACTGACTGCCTGTCTGTCTGTCTGGACACTGAGGGGCGGGAAGAAGCGCAGGGGGCGGAGTTTTTTAGTCTGTCTGGAGTTGAGCGAGGTCAGTCGGCGGGGTGTGTTATCTGTCCGAGAGTGCGGGAATAAGAGGTAGCGGGACCTCAACCCTCCGCCCCAGAGTTACTCTCAAAGACTCACCCGCGCGGTGTCGATCTGGCTGCCGCCCTGGCCGGTACTGCCCCTTTAAATCCATCATGGCTGCCGCTCGAGGCAATTGTTTTGACGGCTCAGAGGGGCGGGGCCTGCTCCCGAGTCACGCGACCTAAGAGCCGCCCGAGGATTGGCTCTGACCACGCGCAGGCAAGAACGGAGGTGTGTACGCGGCGTGCTCGCCGGGTCCCCTTCCGCCCCTTTTACGTCATGAGGGAGCGACGGCCCAGGGGATCTTTAGCGTCATCTCGGAGCGCCAGCCGCCGGGCTAGAGGTAGTGGTGGCGTGCTGAGCCCGGCGGTACCTGGCTACACTCATGGCTCTGCGGGTACTGACCCGTGCTCTGGGCTCTCTGAGTCTGGCGCCCCCGGCTGCCGCCGCCCCCGGCCCGAGTGTGCTCCCGACCGCCCAGGTAACCCAGCTTACCAGGGAATGAGGCTGTTTCCGCTCGGGCCGCCGGAAAGGGGACACCCGGGGGTGGGAGGCGGGGATGCGAGACTGGTCGTTAGTCACGCCGGCCCGTGACCTTGGATAAGTCACTCTAACCCTCAGTTTTCTCCTCTGTAAGTGTTGCTATCTCACAGGGCCGCTGGATTCCTCGGACGAGATACTGGAGGTGAAAGTGCTTTATGAATAACCGGTTGTACAAGTCTCAGTAGTAATTGACATTTATTGAGTGCCTAGCACAAGCCAGGCATAAGTAATAGAAGTTTTAAATACGTGAACTCTTTCAAATCACTCTGTAAGGTAGTTATACCTCATGTTATCATGAGAGAAAACTGGTGAGTAGTTTAAGGTTATACACCAACTATTGGAGCTAGTCCGACTGGCTTCAAAGCCTGAGATTATGCAATGGTTATGATATCATAACCATTATAAAAACCATTAAGGATGAGATTAGAGAATGCAGAGTGAGATACCAAGAACAGGAGCCTAAGGTTCCTAGTGGGCAATTGATGAGTCACAGAAAAGAAAAGTTGAAAGTCTTGCTCTGTCTGGACCTTGGGCTGATGGTAGAGTTTGGCAGATGCATACCTTTTTTTAAAAAGACATGTTTTTGTTGATTTTTAGATAGAGAGGAAGGGAGGAGAGAAAGATAGAAACATCACTGAGAGACACATCGATCGGCTGCCTCCTGCACGCCCACTACTAGGGATGGAGCCCGCAACCCGGGCATGTGCCCCTGACCGGGAATTGAATCCGGGGCCTCTTGGTCCATGGAATGACACTCAGTCCACTGAGCTATACCAGCTGGGCAGCAGATGCATACTTAAAATTCAAAACCTACTCTGTGAAATTCTGGGAATACAAGAGGGAACAAGGCAGAAATGATGCCGACCTTCCATTTGTATCTGAAAAACTCCCAGAAACATAGTGCACATGGGCAAAAGGCATTGGTGCTGATGGTGGTACATGGATGTGTGGAAGTTCCCAGCTCTGGAAAAGGGAGTTGTTTAGGGAAGGAAAAGTTTCCTGGAGAAGGAGAATTGAGCCAGAATTAAGAGACGCACCAAGGGGAGAACATTTCATTACAGAAACACTTCAAAGGTACAAGGATCAAGTGAGGAGAGGTAATCCACGTGCATACACCTGGATAAACATTCCACACTGTTACGTGTACAAGCTGTGAAGGGTAGAGTTTTTAGACAGCTGATCTGGGACACTTCCAGTAGGAGGTGGGCTACAAGCCAAACTTGATGGTCACTCTGCCCTCTCGGTTCTATGATGCTTCTTCAGTTAGCTTTCAGGTGAAAGAGGTTTATGTTTATCTCCAGGCGACAAGCAATGCTCTCCAGCTGCCCTCTGCCTCGATGTTGCTCCCCTGCCGCCCGTTCCTTACCTCTGTGGCCCTGAGTGCCAAGTTTGTGTCCTGGAAAAGTCGTACCACGTATACCGTTGCACCACAGAAAATGAGGAAATCTGGAGGCCGAGACCACACAGGTGGGAGCAAGGGCAAGAGGATTTAAACAATAAAGGGAAAAAAACATGGTAGGACTCTAGTTCTGTATGTTGGTACAGGCAGAGGGATATGATTAAAACACACTTATTGGCTTTCTTTTACATGCAGGATGAGTAGAATACAAAGCAACAGGCAGGTGGTCTGTGCACCTAAAGACAATCTAAATAATTGAAGAAAACTGGGCATACACAGCAAGTTTCATGACATTTTTCTCCACATCCTTCAAAAAATTGATAACAGCCCTAACCAGTTTGGCTTAGTGGATAGAGTGTCAGCCTGTGAACTCAAGGGTCCCAGGTTCGATTCCGGTCAAGGGCATGTACCTTGGTTGCGGGCACATCCCCAGTAGGGAGTGTGCAGGAGGCAGCTGATCGTTGTTTCTCTCTCATCCATGTTTCGAACTCTCTATCCCTCTCCCTTTCTCTCTGTAAAAAAATCAATAAAATATATTTTTTAAAAATAAAATAAATAAATAAAAAACTGTGGTACAGAAAAAAGAAAAAAAAAGATGGCGATCGGCAGGGGAAAAAAAAATTGATAACAGTTGAAATTGATACGGCCCTCAATAAACTTACTGAATTTAGTAATTTACAGAGAATTTATCTGGAAGTTTTATACAATTTTAATAATCATATAATTATGTTTTTACCAAGGTCCATGTGTTTCCCCATCCCCGTTTATCCCACTGTGCTGTGAAATTTTTTATAATTTTCTGCTTGACTCATAATGTTTAGAAACACTGCTCTCTGCCCAGGACAGGCCTGTTATTCTGACGTGGATTATGTCCCCTCACTGTCCTGACCATAGGCCGAATCCGAGTGCATGGTATCGGTGGGGGTCACAAGCAACGTTACCGCATGATTGACTTTCTTCGGTTCCGGCCGGAGCAGGACACCAAGCCGGGACCCTTTGAGGAGAAGGTCATCCTCGTCCGCTATGACCCCTGTAGGCAAGTTTGGGATGTGGGGTGATGATGGCATGACTGAATGACTACTCTGTGGCTTTTCAGAAATGTGGGGCTGCCTAGATGGTCTGCTCATCTGTCACTCACCCTGAACAGGTCAGCAGACATAGCTCTGGTGGCTGGGGGCAACCGGAAACGCTGGATCGTTGCCACGGAAAACATGCAGGCTGGAGATATAATCCTTAATTCTGACCACATAGGCCGCATGGCAGGTGAGAGGTGGCCACCGGATGTGTGTGGGCTGGGAGGCTCATTCTGTTGCTGATGAAATTCTGTCTTTTAGTTGCTCCTCGAGAAGGGGATGCACATCCTCTTGGGGCCTTGCCGGTGGGGACCCTCATCAACAGTGTGGAGAGCGAGCCAGGCCGAGGGGCCCAGTATATCCGAGCCGCAGGTATGAAGAAAGAAGCTGCTGGGCGGGTTGGGGGACGGGTCTTACAATTTGGAAGGCCAGGTGGTACCCAAGGTCACAATTCTCTGAACCAAAGACCCACATCTGGTCCATTGGCAGAGGAAAAGAAGAAAAAACAAGGAAAATGAGGAGGAAGAAGTGCTTATGTTTTCACCTAAAACATTGCATGCCTCCTGCTCCAGTTTATATGCTCCCGAAGGGGTGTGGCCCCTATAAGTCTGTCCCCCGCCTCCTCCTCTGTGGAGGGTGGCAAAGCTGCTTCTCCCTCCCCAGGGACGTGCGGTGTGCTGCTACGGAAGGTGAATGGGACAGCCATCATCCAGCTGCCTTCTAAGAGGCAGATGCAGGTGTGTGTGGGTACCGGTGGGAGGGATCAGCAACGGAGGAATGTACCTTTCCTGGCCCACGTAGCTCCCAGGTGTTTTATGTCAGGAGCTGCCCTGAGCTGGGGCTGTCCTTTTGGGCTGCAAGAGGGACTGTCCAGTCAGGCTGGCCCCACGATGGAACAGAGAACAGTGTCTTGTTTTCAGCTCCTGTAGGACCTGCACTCAGGTTCAGTTATGCTGTGCTTCTCCC